GTGGTGTGTGATATGTATGTGATGTGTGTGTGTGTGTGTGTGGTATGTTGTATGTGGTATATGGCATATGTGTATGTGTATATGTGAGTGGTGTATTGATGTGTGTATGTGTTGTGTGTGTGTTTGTGGTGTGTGTGTGTGTGATATATGGGGTGTGTGTGTGTGTGTGGGGGTGTGTGTGCATGTGTGTGTGGTGTGGTGTGTGCATGTGTGTGTCTTGTGGTATATGTGCTGTATGCATGTGTGTATGTGTTGTGTTGTGTGTGTGTGTGTGATATATGTGGCGTGTGTGTGTGTGTGTGTGTGTGTGTGTGTGTGTGTGTGTGTGTGTGTGTGTGTGTGTGTGTGTGTGTGTGTGTGTGTGTGTGTGTGTGTGTTTGTGTGTGTGTGTGCTTTTATGTGGAGGCCAGAGACAGATGCAAAATTTTCCAGAACTAGTTCTCCACTTTGGCTTTTGAGACTCCCCAGAGCTTATCAGTTCAGCTATGCTGGCTAGTGAAGGGGCCTCTGGGACCTGCCTGCCTCAGTGCTCCCCTCCACATCTTGATTCTGGCCTCACAGGCATGTGCCACCATGCTGGCTTTTTGTCTGGTTGCTGGGGATAGAAGGTCCACATATCTGTACTGCAGGTGCTCCACCAACTGAGCCATCCCCTCACCTGAAAGTTCAGTGGTACAAGCATTGCCACCATCCAGCTGTAGGTTGTTTTTAAATTCTTGAGTAACTAAAATGTTAACTCTACTAACCACTCCCCAGCCCCTGGCCCTGGCAAACACCCTTCTACTTCTGTATTCTTAAGAATTTGACTTCTTGTGGACCTTGTATGGTGGGATCCTATAGTACTTGCCCTTTTGTGCTTGGCTTATTTCTCTGTAGAGTTCTCAAGGTTGCTACCTTCTTAACATTCCCTTCCATTTTAAGACTAATAATATCCTATTTAAGTAATGTTGAAAAATCGAACAACCTTGCTTTCCCAGACACCTTTCCAGAATATCCACTAGGGGGCAGTAAAAGATGCAGAAAAATTTTAATGAGCCTCCTGAGTGCCAAGCAAGCTGGCCAGGCATCCTGTGTATCTCTCTCAGCCATCCTTGTATACAGTTACAAGATAATGGATTTCACATCCGACAGCAGAGGTGGATAAACCAGAGATACCATCATCTGTAGTCTGAGAGCTGTCTTCCTCCCACTCTGGCAAACACAGAACTTCCTTTCGGATAGTGGCTTCATTCACTTTAATTCAATGATTCTCAGTGCAGACCTCAAGAATTACATATCCAGGTCTCAGGTGAAAGCAAGTCAAACTTTTCAGTGGGAGGTAAAGGTGGGGCCCAGACACAGAAACTGTTCTTAACATCAGTCACTGGAAGGAAAGGTGTCTAATGAGAAAAACCAGACTCAGAAGATATGAATTCTGAAAAGAAGTGGCTGAGGGGACTGAAGATATAGGGACCCCGTTTCCTAGACCATGTGTATAGCTGGAGTTTTCTTGTCCCACCAGGTCCCACAGCTTCAGCCCCAAATGAACACACAGAGACGCTATATTAATTATTAAACTGCTGGCCAATGGCTAGGGCTTCTTATTGGCTAGCTCTGTCTTAATTATTAGCCCATTTCTATTGATCTATGTATTTCCATGTGGTCTTGGCTTACCAGAGGATACCCAGACCTGCTACCCCTTTGGTGGCTACATGGCATCTCTTCAAGGTCTCTGTCTGCCTGTCTTTCCCAGAATTCTCCTCATTTCCTAGTCCTGCCTATCTTCCTGCCTCTATTGGCCAAACAGTGTTTTATTCATCAACCAATAAGAGAAGCATAAATACAGAAGGACATCTCCCATCACGTGTGTGTGCGTGCGTGTGTGTGTGTGTGTGTGTGTGTGTGTGTGTGTGTGTGTGTGT